TTCACTTCTCCGCACGTCCTACCTTCCAGAAAGTGGTCGCTTTTCTGTTCAGAGTGTTGTTACTATTCTTCTCTTCGATCTCCTGTTGAGTTTGTAGGTGTTGAGAATGGTTTGATCCCCATTCAGCTGATTCCTGAGACCAGACGAAATCCAGGTCTCCTAATCCTCCACCATCTTGCTCCGCCCCCCGACTTTGCCAAGTTCTTCTATTTCTATTCATTGCTGTGTTCACAGAGACTAAGCAGTGCCATAGTTTGTGCAGTTGAACAAAATAAATATTTATTAATGAATTACATAACCAGTTATGGAACTCTAACTTAGACCTCTGGAAAGGAATAAAGGAACTGCATTTTGCATCTGTTTGTGGAACTTCAGGAGGCTCAGGGCTCTGGAAATCATGCTTTACTTTGTCATCATCACGGACTCTACAATGGCCTGTTCACAATGTTCACTGAATGAACTAGTGGAAAGAATGTAAGATAGGGTTACTAACTTACAAGGTGCCTAGAACTGACCTGGGCAGAATACGGATGCTGTTATACCCCATGCACAGGAGCAGGTGATGAGTACAGTAGAGTTCATAAGTCATGTCAAGCCTACAGGAAAAATATTATTCAGCAGGGACTGACTGAATTCTGTACCAGCGATGCAAGGTACAAAGGTGTTGAAGATAACTGTTGTATTCAGGGACTAAGAAAATTGGAGGCATCTCTGCCTCTATTAGCTGGTGAACAAGTGCAAGTACCTCGGCGGGGTACCTGTCCTGAGGGAGATGCACAGAGGGAGAAATTGGGAGCCACAGAGAAGCGAGTGATGATCCTTATCTGAGGAGGCCAGGTGGTCAAGGAAGGACTTATGAGAAAGATTTTCCCTGAGCTGAACCAAGTCTTATGAGGATGTTTAGCAGATGAGAAAAAAGCACATTTACTGAAAAAGGCACAGTGGATCCTGGGAGGAAGCTAACAAAACAGGGATGGACAGGAAACACTTGTAGCAAATGTTCCTCTAAGGACAGAACCTGTGCTATCCAGAGTTCCTGGACACTCCTCCTCTCAAACTATCCATTTTACCCAATAAGAAGTGACCTACAAAGGGGTGAAGAGAGGTAAAAACATCATGCAACATAATCAGGGAGGGGAATCATTATCCGGCATCCAAACCAGTTTATGGTAGGACTGATGCATGCGAGTAATGCACAGCGTTCCCTTTTATTGTCAGCACTTAGAAGGGAGGAATGTGTCTTCAAAACTCCTCTGCCCCAAAGCATGACATGGCTGCTGGGAGGCTCCATGTGGGTCCACACAGTGTTCTTCCTGGTTGTACAGTTCCCGATGCGTCCCCATTGGAGTGCCTGTCTCCTTTGCTCTAAATTCAATTTGTGCAAAGAAGAGGACAGAATTTGATACATAATATTATTCCTCAGGAAAGACATGATGTACATTCTAACTTAGTGGTTGATGGTCCTTATTTTCTGATTAAAATAGAAAACTGGGAAGGGGACAGAGGGGCAATAGATTGCACTGTCCTGATACAGAGACTTTACATTCTAGTCAGAGTTAAAACCCACAGTCAAGGTCCATGATGCCTCAAAGTAAATAAGTACTTGAAGTCAGTAGGAGACACACAGGTGTGGAGCCTCCTTATGAGCCTCAGTATTGTAGGAAAACAGTTCTCTACAAGAGGAGACTCCATATGTGTCGGTTATGCTCTGTGGGGTGTGGGGAGGTGTGGCTTCAGAAATGGGTCCTCTCCATGCCCTGGTGACAAAGAGAGAAGGCTCCTGGTTTGAAGCAAAGAGCAGCTCCTGTGCCCAGGTGGTGCCTGCAGCTCACACCTGAGGTTAGCAGTGGAATCTAGTGGAGAACATGGGACATACATCACAGTCAGAGGCTGAACACTGTTGTAACTTCCACACCCTGGTACCTGAGTCTTGAATTTTATTGTGCAGAGGTTTCTTCTGCAGCCTGGCCAGTTCCTCCCTCTCTGCTCTTCACCCCAGTTCCTGGCCTCTTCCATCGCCTGGAATTTCAGAGCCTCTACCTCAACATTCTCCTGTCCACCTGCTCTGCCTCCTGGTCTCTTCTCCACAGCCAGCAGATCATGTTACCAAACAGCAAGGGATTGAATCTCCTTCTGAGACCAAGAGCTCCTGGGATAGGAGGGTGTGTGGATGAGCCTTGAAACAAGCGGCTTCCTCCTGCTGCTTCAAATCCTCGTCTGGCTGCTGCTTCCAAGCCTGTACCTTCAGAGCTGCCAGTCATTAAACCAATGATTCCTGATACACACAGCAACATGGCTGTATGCACAAGGATTCCTGCTGAGCCAAGGAAGCCCTACTAAATAGTACATATGATACCATTATCTATTTACATCTTCTACAAAATTAAAGGTAGTCTAAAGTGACATGAGAAAGATCAATAGTTATGTGCGGACAAGGTGAAGAGGGGAAGATGGAAGAGGATTTCCAAGATAAGTACAGGACATTTTAGGGAGAATTGATGTGCTCACTATCGATAATATTGATTTTGACACCAGTGTTTATCATATCCCACATTCTGCATGTGTGTAGTTCATCCTGTGACAAGTGCACACATCAGAGCTATTACAGGTCATCACAGAGATGATTCTGGAGGAACACAGAGAGAGTAAAACTTTGAGAGACTTTAAATTACACTTTCACAATCCTGATTCTCTCTGTATTTCAGGTAAACTCTAGAACAAGCAAAACCATTCTGTCCCCATTACAGGAGGGGTTCCACCTTCCTCATGAGCCTGCCCACTCTGTCCCAAGGGGGGTGTCAGGGATGCAGCACAGTACTGTGGAAGGAGCACCGACTTATATCCTGGGGCTCACATTCACCCCATAAATGCTCTTGGACACCTCACAAACCATCCACAATTCTAGCTGTAGGTTCACATCACTTAAGGGGGAACATGACACCTAAACCCCAAGACTTATGTTTACATGTAAAATCAAAGTAGTACATGGAGGCCAAGGATATACACTGGAATGTTATCAAAGAGTAAATGATATTTTTCAAAAGTGATGAATAGCAACACATCAACGGCAGTCACGCCTGCACTGGACAGTGCCCTCTCTGTCAGCATAGATCCCAAGTTGAATATATATTCTGAGGACATGCAAATAGGGCCCTCCCTCTGCTGATTAAACCAGCTGAGCCCCCACCCTTGGAGGTGGGAGAGGAGACCCAGCCCTGGGATCCCCACGTGTTCGATTCAGTGATCAGGACAGAACACAGACAACTCACCATGGAGTTTGTACTTGGCTGGGATTTCCTTGTTGCTCTTTTATAAGGTAATTTATGTGAACAAGAAACATTGAGTGTATGAGAGTATGTGAGTGAGAGAAAGAGTGGTTCTGTGACAGTTTCCTGACCAGGATGTTTTGTGTCTACAGGTGCCCAGTCTGAGGTGCAGCTGGTGGAGCTTGGGGAGAACTGGTAAAGCCTGGAGGGTCCCTGAGACTCTCCTGTGCTGCCTCTGGATTCACTTTCAGTGACTCTGGCATGAGCTGAGTCTGCTAGCCTCCAGGGAAGGGGCTGCAGTGGGTCACAGCTATTAGCTATGATGGAAGTGGCATGAATTATGCAGACTCTGTGAAGGGCCGATTCACCATCTCCAGAGACAACAGCAAGAACACGCTGTATCTGCAGATGAACAGCCTGAGAGCCGAGGACAGGGCCGTGTATTACTGTGCCAGTGACACAGTGAGGGGACGTCAGTGTGAGCCCAGACACATACCTCCCTGTAAGAGGTGATCTGGCCTCCAGTGTGTGCACACTACTCCCCAATTCTGTTTTCAGGCCCAGGAGCAGGTGCAGATGGAGGTTATGGGCAGGCTTCCTGTCAGAGTGTGGGCCTTCTTCTCCATTTATAGCTGTTTCCCCCAGGGAGATTCCCCATTCACATGATTCCGTGCTTATGTATTCATTCTCTGATTCGAAACTTGCTTTTTTTAAAAAAAGATTTTTTTTATTTATTTGAGAGAAAGAATGAGATAGAGAGAGAGCACATGAGAGGGGGGAGGGTCCGAGGGAGAAGCAGACTCCTCGCCTAGCAGGGAGCCCAATGAGGGACTCGATCCCGGGACTCCAGCATCATGGCCTGAGCCGAAGGCAGTCGCTTAACCAACTGAGCCACCCAGGCACCCCTGAAACTTGCTTTTAATAGGAAAAAAGAAACTATTCTAATACGCACAAATCACAGAGTAGCTTACACTTGCTTACTGTTGTCTCTAAATATGAATAAATTACAAATATCTCCATGTCCCTACACTGAACCTTAGAGAAGTCCCAGAAGCAATCCCTGTGCATCACAGACCACCGTGCTTAATGTGAAAGCTTGTTAGAAGCAGCATAAAATGCATGCTGGACATGAGGCTACAGCGGCATCAATAATCCAAAGCAAGGGAAGAAAAAAACCTGGTGTGTACACTGTCTTGAACCATAGTCACAGCATCAGTATTACTGATAGCACGGGTAAACAGAGGTTCCCCCTCCCCCTCCAGGTGTGGTGTAGATGTGGAGTCTGATGATCACACACAAACACACACAAACACACACACACAAGTATAAAAAATTTATCACCTTCTTCGTCATGTCTGCTGAGAACAGGGCAGACCTCTCAGCAAAACAAATGCTTGGGTAGGTCCAGGGATGTACACTGGCTCAGAGTGTATGCTGTGGGTCACTGGTGGCGAAGGAGTCCTGCTCATGGGAGGGGCTTGTGTGGAGTTAATCTCCCAGCTGCATCAAAGGCCTGCAAATCTATGAGATCTTGGTAGATTTCCCCTGTGTGGGCTCTGAGGAGAAAAGGGATGAATGAAGGTCAAGCACTAGCCACAATAATAGAAACATATGGTATGATGACTAATTCTACTAAACAATATGAAAACTTGGAGAACAAAAGAGAAAAATTGCCATTCTAAGGAGAAACAATCAGAACCCTTGCAAAATAGGAATGATCCATGGAAGCAGCTGAAATTATAAAATGATCATAGAAATAGACCAAAGTCTTACCCAGTGTCTGCAGTAGAAGCTATCCACTCCCCAAGGTCAGCAGCTGGTTCTGAAGGTCTTGCGTTCACTGTATGCACACAGAGACAAGAAGCTTCCAGTGAATACATGAGAATCCTCATGTTGAGTGGTCCACTGGAGGAAACTTCCTCCTGCAGAGAATAACTAATTGATCCTTCAGTTGCTGATATCAGCTCAGAGTGTGACCTCTAGCATCCCCATGATGAAACCAAACACTCATGTGATGGGAGGAGGAGGTGGGGCCTTCGGGAAGCACTTAGGTCAGGAGGGCGCAGTCTCATGCTGGATTAGTGCCCTTATACACCAGGACTGGGAAAACTCCCTGCC